TGAGTATATCGTATGCAGTCTGCTGCTCTTGGCGACGGCGAAGATGGAGCGGCGGAGGGTTCCGCAGCGCACGCTGACGCTCTTAGGGCTCTGGCTCTGGCTCGCCGTCCTCGTTATGCTGGCCACTGCACTCTTCGGGATGGTCAACGCCGCGCCGTTCAAGGCCACGCAAGGTGAGACTGCCGCCTGCCACTCGCCTCGCAAGGCCATGCAAGGTGAGTGAGACTGCTGCCTGCCTCTCGCCTCGCCCTGGAGCCAAGCCTTAAGTTATCAATGATTCCGCGCCATGGTTCCATGGTCGTCGGTCAGTGCAACTACTACATGTCGGCGTAGTGTTGTGCATTCCAGGTACGTTAGGCAGGCATTAGGTGCATTGCAGGCTCATGCGTACCTGGTTCTCCTTCTGGTGGTGCCCTCACCTTCTGGTGCCCCTCACCTTCTGGCTCTTCCTTTCTGCTCTCCTCTCGTGTTCCCTTCTGGCAGCGGTGTTTCTCCAGGACTGCCACGAGGCTTGGGGGACGACGTTCTTAGGGTGGACCCAGAAATCGACTGTGACTCGGCTGAAGGTCTCAGCTGTGACGCTTCAGGCATGATTACCGAGATGTGAGTGCATGCCTTTCTACCGTTCTACCTCCAGGCATGCCTTTCTACCGTTCTACTCCAGGCATGCCTTTCTACCGTTCTACCTCCAGGCATGCCTTTCTACCGTTCTACCTCCAGGCATGCCTTTCTACCTTTCTACCTCCAGGCATGCCATTCTACCTTTCTACCTCCAGGCATGCCTTTCTGCCGTTCTACCTCCAGGCATGCCTTTCTACCTTTCTTTGAATCATGCCTGAAGCGTCACAGGTGAGACCTTCAGGATGGAATGGGCTTTCACGTCAAGAAGGCTTTCTTTGAATCCGTTGCCTGCTGAATCAGCGCCATGTGCTCTGTGTTCCTTCCTATGGTAGCAGCAAAGATTGTTTTTGTGTGATTTTCGTTTTATAGTTGCCCGAAAGCTCGCACCACGCACAACTGTGCCCACTATTCTCAACTCCGCTCCTCTTTTAATTTAACACACACCATATAGAGCTTTGTCTTCCAACGCTCTTAGTGGCTCCCTACCTGACAGCCTTTCCACGCTCACGGCACTGACATGGCTGTAAGAAACTCCGATGAGACAATGGGATCACCTCCGCACCTGCATTTTCTTCATAGTTAGTAATAATCCCATGGAGCGAGGCATGTACGGTGGGTGGCGTGGCGCCTCCAGTTGATTAGATCACTCAGTTGCATCCAGAAAAGTTTTTCTAATAGATCTCAGTAGTAAATGGGGTCATAGCCTCAACAGTTTTTCATCAAATGTAATTTCCAGGAACACCTCCAGTCCCCTGTTGGGTTCGTCTTCTTTTCCCTCCCTTACGCCCATCCACCCTCGATTGTTCCTTTTATCTGATGACGTCATCGATATCCCTGATTTCACTGCTCCCATATGTACACGCAAACCTTGCAACACACTCTCCACTCCCATCCATCCTCGATTGTTCCTTTTATCTCTGTGGCCAGAGATATGAGGTACAACAGCCTTTCCGGGTCTATTCCAGCTGGACTTGTAAACCTCGTTTCATTGGAGTACATGTAAGCAGCGTGAGATTAGCGTGCTGTAAGCATGCTGTAAGCACATGTTTGGCTTGATCAGACGCATCCTACTGCACTACTGCTGAAAGCACATGTTTGGGGGCATCCTACTGCACTACTGCACTAAGGAAGTGAGGGGTGGTACGATTGCTTTGGGGGCATCCTACTGCACTACTGCTCTAAGGAAGTGAGGGGTGGTACGATTGCTTTGGGGGCATCCTACTGCACTACTGCTCTAAGGAAGTGAGGGGTGGTACGATTCCATCTTTCATGCTTGCCAGCAGAAAATCTTGTGTCTCTAGGGATGTCCGCGTCCCAGTGTTGAGCGTACTTGTTTGAGCTCTGACCAGCTCAGAGGCAAACTACTGTTGTAGCAGCGGTGTACAGACTACAGTACTCTACATGCTTGCTTGCAGCCAGCCACCTTCTTCCCTTGCAGTTTGCATTCTTTCTATCTTTGCCACATCTGGTTCCCTGTTCTGTTGGACTAATCGATTCTACTTCATTTGTCTCACTGCGTTGACGGTTTCACACAAATGCACGTGTTTGCGAGAATAGCAGAGCAGTATTTTTGTCCGCTATCCACCCACCCACTGTGACCAGAAATCTGTGGGGTAATCGGCTTAACGGGCCAATTCCAAATGGAATCGGGAACCTCACTCGGATGGTTACGCTGTAAGTATGCTGCTGCTGCTGAAACTCACCCAAAACATTTCGCTTGTGTAGAGTGCCTTCCGCAAAGCCCCGCTTCCGCTCAGCCCCGTTTTTCTCCCCCTCCTGCCGTCGGTTGGAGCTGCTTCCGTTTGCGCCAAGTCCGCCGCAGAACGTTCTCCTCTCTGCGCCATGCAATGCTTCCCACCGTGTGTGCTTCTCCGGTGGG